CGGCCTCGCGTTCCAGCCCGGCCGCCTCGCCTGAGCCTCGTGCGTGGCCTCTCCAGGGCAACGTTTCCAAGATCTGGAGGATCCTGGCGGCGCTTTTAAGGCTTGAGTGCTTCCGGGAGGGCAGGTTCTGCGTGCTCACCTTGATTTAGTACTAATGCCTGCCCTGGCCCTGCCGGGTAAAGGCGATTCTGCCCCAGCCCCGCAGGGTAAAAGTGATCCTGCCCTAGTCCCAATGGGCACGGGGGATCTTGCCCCAACCTCTTCAGGTAAAAGAGATCCTGGTCACGGAAGGTGCCATGGGTCCCGAGAGGCCATGGTGCCTTCAAGGCTTCAGAGCCACGATTCCAACGCAGGTGATCAGAGCAGTAGATAGTGTGGACAGCCTGGCACGACATTCAGGATAGTGTGGCGTGTCCTCGCTCCACTGTCTGCCCCCGGAGACTTCACCTCACCCTGAGACCTCACCTCGATGGCAAGGCTCAAGCTGCTGCTGGGACAGTGTCCTGATGCACAGCAGGTGTGCAGATGAATTCGGAGTTGACTGAATTGTACCTTTCCTTTCCTGTTTCACATATGTCTAGAATGTCATTCCAGGCCATATCTGTTTCCACCCTTTCTGTAAGGAGAACTCACTGCTGTTGGAAATTCCCAGAGAGAGGGGTGGCAGAGGGGGAAAGGGAAGTTGGGAGGATACAATTTCTACTTTCAATTTCTGGATTTTCTACATAATTTCCTTACCTTCTCAGGTGTGAAGCCAGGAAAGATGGCCCACTCACGAGGCAGGTAAGAAGGTGATGGAGGGAGAGTGAGGACAAGCTGTGAGGTCCTCATAGGATTCAGCCACAAGGCTGAAGGAAAAATGAAGAGGCCGACCCAGGAACCTCCAAAGCTTTGAGATGTAGAGGTGTCAGAAGCATCACTCCATCAGTCCCTGCCAGACTCCAGGAACTTCTCTGAGTCTTACAGCACATTGTTACCATATGCACGGTAGGGCTGTGTGGTTCTTTTTGTTTGTTTGTTTGTTTTGTTTTGTTTTTTGAGTTAGAGTTTCACTCTGTCGCCCAGACCGGAGTGCGGTGGCCACTCCCGGCCACCGCAGCCTCGACCTGCTGGGCTCCGGCGATCCTTGCGTCTCAGCCTTCCAACTAGCTGGAACTACAGACGCGTGCTACCACGCCCGGCTAGGGGCTGTGTGGTTCTTATCATCTGTTCCTTATGGGAATGGATGAGAACCTTTATCTCTTTGCCTGCACTGGGCATAGCCCGTCTGACAGCATATTGGAGTTCAATATGTTTGTTGCATGACTTCTAAAGCCCTCAATTTTAATGTACAAACCAGCAAAGATTGTCTGAGGCCTAGAATGCAGTCCTGTTTTCTGCATCTTCTTCCTTATCCGTATTCTAATCCTGATCCTATCACCACTGGGGGCTGGCCCAAGGGAGGGCACTCAAGCCACTCCCCGTATCCTGCTTCGAATATGAAGTCATACATTGCTGGGCTGTGAAAACTGATTCCTCACAGCAGGGACTTGGCAGGCCACCCAGAGTCACATCAGGATCCTACTTGCTCCTCCCTGTCCTTGGTGCCATCAGGAGACACGGGTGGTTGTTCGGGGATACTCACTAGGCTAATTTTCACTTACAGTCCTGCACCTGATTCCACACTACTCGCAGCATTGAGTCTACTTTAATTTACACATTGGGGCTGACTGGGAAGCTAATTTATGAATCATCTTTACTGCTGTGCTTTCTTCCTTCTTAGGAAGGAGTCTCACTCCTCCTTCTCTTGGCACAGTCACAGGGACAGGGCGGGGACACGGGAGGACACTTCCAGAGGCACCCAAGCTCCTTTGCTGCCCCTCACTCCAGAATCTTCAGGGGTGGATAAGGTCCTGATTGCCTGCAGCATGGCAGATGGTGAGTCTGTTTGTGTGTTGGAGGGAGGCTGTTTGAGACAATGAACCATACAGAAACAGCCCAATCACCAAGCCCCAGGACTGTCTCCTGGTCTAGCTAGGGAGCCAAAGCAGTCAGCAGTTGGTGACACACAGTGCTTGCCCTGAACACAAATCTCACCTGTCCGAGCATCTCCTGGCCAGCTCTCACGCAGGGCCTGGGACACTTGTTCCTGGAAATAGTGGTGCAGCCTGGCTTGGGCCAAAGCCCATGAGAACACAGAAGCGGCTTTAGCAGCTATTCTTTAGGGATACTGTAGGAAGAAAGGTCTGTAGGGAGAGAGGCCTATAGGTTTGGGGGCTTTGCTGTCATTCTGCGTGGTCATCTACACGACCAGCTTTGAGAGTTGCCTCTCAGGTCAGATGCTTGGGCTTGGCCCCTGGTCTGGAGTCCTCTACTCCTCTACCCCCTATGACTGGACACTGCCCTTCTGCAGGCATCTCCCTCCCCCACATCTTTCAGCCTCATGTCGTATCCTTCACAGGACAGACCTTTGGGTCCCTGTTGGTTCCTCCTGAGGTAGCAGGTCCCAACCAGCGTCCACACCCAGAGGTGAGCCAGGCCTGCTCTCCTTGGTCTCCAGGAAGGGTACAGGCCCATCTCAGGGCCCTCCCAGGGTGGATACATCCCTTCTCTGCCTAGCCAGGAGCTGCTGACCCACTTGTTCTGGGTCCTGAGCCTGATAATACACAAGTACCATGGACAAGGGTCAGTCTGGCGTAGGAAAGGAATGGCAGAGGGTAGGACAAGGGCCCCAGTCACACAGGCTCAAGTCAGGACAATTCCAATCAGGAAACTGAGGCAGGTGCTGGACCAAGCAGAGGGTGGCAGCTCTTCCACAAGGGCTTACCAGACTCATTGGGCCAAGGGTACAGTGAGACTCACCCTAAGCTCTGCTTCATTTTGGCAGGAGAGTGGGGGAGTACCCTTGGCCAGCTGGGCCCCTGTGAAGGATTCTCTACATGGCTGTATTGGGACACTTCCCGGAAGGCATTTGTGGGTCCTTGGCACCTAGAGCCATCTGTCTTCTCCAGACCTACATAAAATGTTTCCTTGGCCGGGTGCGGTAGCTCATGCCTATAATCCCAGCACTTTGGGAGGCCGAGGCAAGAGGATTGCTTGAGCCCAGGAGTCTAAGATCAGCCTAGGTAACATAGCGAGACTTTGTCTCTACAAAAAAATACAAAACTTAGCCAGACATGGTGGCACATGCCTATGATCCTAGCTACATGGGAGACTGTGAGGCAGAAGGATGGCCTTAGAGCAGGTTGAGACTACAGTGAGCCGTGATTGTGCCACTGCACTCCAGCCTGGGCCAAAGAGTGAGACCCTGACTCAAAATGAAACAAAGATACATGTCCTTGCCCAGTTCTGGTCTGTCCTCACATGCTCAGTGACCTCCTGGGTGCTACCTCCCACAGTCTGCCCACCCACCTTCCCCAACTTTCTCACGCACACAAGCCTTCTTTGGGCTCCATCTGGCTGTACCCCAACCCCCACCTCTGTCCTATTTAGGGGCCACAGCAAGAAGGCTCATGGGCCCTGCCCACTGAAATCCTACATGCTCTGCCCAGGTGGGCACATGTGCCTCCCTGCAAAGACTGTCCAGACCCCTACAGCCCTGTGCTTCCTCCAGAGCCCAAGACATGTCTGTGCCTCACTTCAGACCCCTGACTTGCCTTCGAACTCCCCTCACACCCCCAGACCAGGAGCCCCTTGGGGCGTACTGTGCCCCTCATATTCTACATGGTAACACCTGACAGTGTTAACAGTGAAACTGGGCCTGACTGGAAACAGTAACAGCTTTGGTCCAAGGGGACAGTCTTCCAGGGAGGGTGCAGGGTCTCCCAGCATTGCCAGGATGGGGGGATTTTTTTTTTTTTTTGAGTTGGAGTTTCACTGTCACCCAGGCTGGAGGGCAGTGGCACACTCCTGGCCACCACAGCCTCAACCTGCTGGGCTCAGGCAATCCTTTTACCTTCCCAGTAGCTGCAACTACGGGTATGCACCACCATGCCTGGCTAATTTTTTTTGATTTACTGTGGAGATGAGGCCTTGCCAAGTGGCCCAGGCTGGTCTTAAACCTGTGGACTCAGGCAATCCTGTCTCTCACCTTGGCCTCCCAAAGTGCTGGGATTAGTGTGAGCCACCACACCCGGCTAGGGTGGGGGGATTCTAGGTGCACACAGCCCTAATGCTGGGGAATTGCCTACCCACCCAGTGTTCCCTACCCCATATAGGATGGAGCCTGTGCCCTAGGAGGAGCCAGTAGTCATGGTAAATTCTGAAGGCCCCACCGGGACTCTGAGCCCAGCATTGGCCATCTGTCCCCGCTGCTTATCTCCTGGGGTGCCTGATTCCAGCCCACCAATAGGGCCCCACCCTCAGCATTGTCCCTGGGTACAGTGGGCACACAGTGCATGAGTAACAGCCAGGACTCTTGAGGATACCATGTGGCAGAGACAAGGACGCAGTCCTACCATCTGCTTACTGGGCACTTTTCTTCTGCATGTCTCCTCTCTCTGAGTTGAAGGACTGGATTCCTGTTCCCAGAGCAACCCCCTTACATACCAAATCTTGGTTCTGCAGAGGGTCCATGGGATCTCAGAAAAGAGACCCTGCAATTAAATTCCTCAAAAGCCTCTTCTCAGGAGCTCTCCTGATCTGCTCTCCAGGTTCATGGGGGATTCCAATGCTTTGCCTGGGTGTTCTCACTGTATACCCCACAGACACCTAGCCCAGCTCCCTTCAAGCACAAGTATGCACACTTCTGGAGGGAAGGGGGTCTCCTCTTACTGTCTTCATATTCAGTAATTATTTGTTGGTTAAGTAAACGAAAACACTCCTGATCCTGTTGCAGATCCAACCCTCAGCAGCTCCTCAACCGTGTGGGCCCCCCATGATGGTTAATTTTGTGTCTACTTGACTGGGCCAGAGTGCCCAGATATTCAGTCAAACATTATTCTGAGTGTTTCTGCATGAGACTGACATTTAAATCTGTAGGCTTTAACATAAGAGTAATATTTTAATCAGTAGAACAAGACTGCCCTTCATTATGTGGATGGCCTCATCGAATCAGTTGAAAGCCTGACTAGAAGACTTGCTCATACTCGCCCCCCAGGAAGACAATTTGCCAGCAAACTGTCTTCAGACTTCACAGGCTACACTGACTTTTCTGCCTGCTGGGTCAGGGCCTCCAGCCTGACAGCCTCTATAGTACCACTTATGTCAATTCCGTAGCCTTTTCTGTGTGTGCTTTGATTCTTTGGAGAACTCGAACACACCTCCCTAGAGGGTTCCTTCCTCACCAGGAACCCAGCCCCACCTGGCCTGACAGTGGGAGGGGCAGAGGATGCAGTGGTAGTGCTCCCTCCCCACAGCAGAGCACACCAAGCCCAGCTTCCAGTGCCAGCCAGCTTCCAGGCAGGTCTCTGATGACTGAAGCCCTTCGGTTCATGGGAGACTCTTGGCCTTGCCAGTCAGTGTGGCTGCCATGGCGCCTTCCAGGCTCTGAGGCCATGGGTCACTGGTTTGGCCTCCAGTATTACCCCCAATAGCAATCACCCCCTGGCGCAGTGGCAAGCAAAGTCAGGACACTGGGGGCTGGAAACCAATTTATATAACCTGAAGGGCCAGGAAAGAAGTGACACCATCCTGCCAGGCCGGTTAGAAATAGGAGGCAGTAGCCCGAGTGTGCTGGTGGCCGTAGGAAATTCATCAGTTTTCTGAGAAGCCCTTTTCTCAAATGTTCAGTGGAATCATGGGTGCTCGAGAGCTGGTCAAGTGGAGCCGTGGCCACTCATAACCAGGTTCAGGATGCTTGGAACCCTTTGGTCCTTGTCACTCAGGAAGGAGAGGTGTTCCTGTGAGTGGAGGGCAGGGAAGGGACAGGAATGGACTGGGGTCCCACCTCAGGTGAGCCTTCACAGAGGGCAAACTTGACTTTTATACTCAGGAAGGAGCCAAGCCAACAGCACTGGGGGCAGAAGTGGGTGAAGAGCCTCTAGGCCTCCTGAGCTCCGGAAGAAGGTGGTCCTGACTTGGTTTGGGAACAGGGAAGGAGCAGGGAGGTTGAGGTCCAAGAATCCACCATGTTCTGGGCCAGGAAACACTTGGAGACCGTGGAGATCACCAGTAGGGAATGATGTGCTGCTCCCTGGCTATAACCCTGCTGACCCCTGAGCAATCAGTCATGGGCAGCTGGCTACCGTGGGGACATTCTGCATGGCCTGGCTGGAGATCGCAACATAGGAGCTGTGAGTGAGAAGAGAAAGTGGAAGCAGGATGGTGGGCAGGTAGGGCATGTCAGTCCTTCTTGCCCACTGGGGACATGCTGCGGGGAAGTAGCTTGTGGTAGCCAGAAGGGGACAGAGAGGCCCCTGCAGGGGAGTCCAGCTTCACCTTGTCCAGGACAGTCTTCTTGATGGCAGCAGGTGACACCTTCTCCTGGTCAGCCATGGACTGCAGCTCCCTAGAGAGGCAATGAGGTGTTGGGGCCAGGCTCTTCTTTCTTCCAGAGCCCAAGTGTGTACCAGGGAAAGGAAGCAAAGCTACGGCTCCTAAAGCCTGCCAGCTCAGGCAGCACTGTGCTATCACCTACCTCAGGGCCTTTGCACCTGCTATCTTCTCTGCCAGCTACATGCACCCAGACACAGCTGCCTGGCTCCCTCTCGCCTCATTCAAATTGGCTCAGTGCCACCAAAATCTACACACGGTGATCCCCCAGACCTGAGTCTTCACTGCCTGACTGTGGGATGTGTGCTTATGCCTGTCTGCCCAAAAGCCTCATTGTCACATGGTGGTACTTAGCAGAATCTGAGAATATATGGCTTGGAGAGTGGGCAGCATGGCAAGAAAGATGACCTCTTCCACCCTGCAGACCTGAACTGGGGACAGCAACCCCCAGAACTGGTGCTCTGACCACCTGTCAGATATCAAACCTGTCTCTTCTTTTTAGTTTTCTTTCTTTTTTTTTGAGTTGGAGTCTCACTCTGTCGCCCAGGCTGGAGTGCAGTGGCACGCTCCCAGCCACCGCAGCCTCGACCTGCTGGGCTCTGGCGATCCTTCTGCCTCAGCCTTCCGAGTAGCTGGAACTACAGGTGCGTGCTACCATGCCTGGCTAATTTTTTTATTTACTGTAGAGATGAGATCTCGCCAAGTTGCCCAGGTGGGTCTCAAACCCGCAGGCTCAGGCAATCCACTCACCTCAGCCTCCCAAAGGCGCGGGATTACAGGCTGAGCCACAGAGCCTGGCTCTGGTTTTCTTTCAACTCTCATGGAGTTTTCCCAGTGCTAGGATGCTGGTGTATGTTCTGCTTCTTTAAGTCACCTGATCTCCCAGCAAGGCCAGGATGAAAACGTGACAGGCCCACAGAGGTTCCCTGATGTGCCTGGCTGCCCACCAGTGTGGCCCCCTGGCTTGGATGTCCATTCTGGCCATGATATGATACAACTATGTGGGGAGCACAGTATAGGCCAGAGAAGGTATCCAGGCACCTCTGTGGACATGCGCTTGGGTAAGAAAAGGGGCCTTGGTGGGGTGCTACACACTGTGACCCAGGGGATCATGGTGCTCTGTGTGCCACCCAATGCCAGGCCAGAACTCATAAATATCTGTCAAGTCAGTGACTGAGCAAACGTGTGAGACTGAGGGTAGGTGGCCAGGGAAGTGGGCAGCAGCAAGGGCCCACCGTGTACGGATGCAGGAGGCCTCCACAGCATTGATGAGAAGGGAGCGGAAGCCCCCACTCTCCAGCACATGCAAAGCATGGATGGTGGCCCCACCAGGAGAGCAGACGTTGTCCTTGAGCTGGCCTGGGTGCTGTTCTGAGTCCAGTAGCATCTTGGCAGCCCCCTGCAGCCAGTAGAGAGGTTGACAGCTATAGGGCACCCAATCACCCAGCAAGGCCCTGTCCTAGCCACTGCAACACCCCCTACCCATCTGCCCCTACTGCAGCCCTGTGGCCCCACCAAGAGTAACCCCACAGAGGATCAGGAAACACACTGACCAGGAGAGCCTGAGCCCCAAGACGAACCGCCAGGCGCCTTGGAAGCCCCATCTTCACGCCTCCATCAGCCAGGGCATCCCAGGGCTGTGAACGCCTGTGGGGAGAAGGTACCCTGAGGTGCTATCCTGGGCCTTTCTTTCTTCCCCTCTGGGCAACGCTCTTGGAGGGCTGGAGTAGGGAGGAAGACAAAGTGCCAGTTCCCACAGATTTGTGGCCTCCCATCCTGGCCCTGAGGTCCTGGAAAGTACCCACTGCCAACAGCTGCCCCCCAGTCCTCACATAGGCGGGGCCGCTGCCACTGAGTCCCGTGACAGCATCAATCAGGTCTTCTTCCACCTCCGTGCAGAAGCCCACGCTGCCCAGCAGCTGTTCCACGAGCTTGCCATCCTCTACCTGGGCATGTGTGCCCGTGGCATACACGGTAGCCCCCTCACGCACCACAACTGGGGTGTTGGTCATGCAGCGAATGACTTTGGGGGCTGGCTGAAACGCCAACAGTTTCTGGAAGAGAAACCAGCTTGTGTCTGTCCTGGCCTTGGACATGGTGTGTCAATACACTTCCTCAACTGAGCAGTGCCTGATTTCTCCCCATAGGCTAGGGCATGGCACCCCTTTCGAAGATGGAGAACCAAGCCACTAAGAGCCAGGGCTCCCGACCACCCTCTCTCCAGATCCTGCTGGGCCCTGGCCCACGGTGCCTACCTTCTCGATAGAGCTAATGGTGACACCAGCCGCACAGGACACCACGATGTGCCTGTCCTCAATGTTGGCACCAATCTCATCCAGGATGAAGGGGATGATGTGTGGCTTTACTGCCAGGAAGAGCACATCACTGTGCTGTACTGTCTCCTTGTTGTGGGGTGTCAAGTTCACCCCCATCTTCTGCAGGGAGTAAATGGGGGGGTTCAGCCTGCTCCTGTGGCTGTCTGGCCCTACCTATCCCTCTCAAAGGCCCCTAAGCCAAAAGACTCACATGTAGAACAGCAGAGACTGCTGGGGTGTGGGTGTGGACAGGGCTGAGGACTCACTCAGGGCATGGGGTTCTCACCTCCCCTCGACTACTCTTCCTATCCGTAAATGGAGGAGACATCCTGTCTAGAATGCATCTTTTGCAGACAGAAGAAGATCACTCCATCCGTGCCACAGCCCTGACACCCTGCCTCAGGCTGCAACCCCCCAGATCCTGCCTTCAGGCGTGAGTGTTGGTGTGGCTTGTGGCCTCAAGCTGGGAACCTGCCCCACCCTTGGATCTGAAACCCGAACTTCGCCATGGCAAACCAAAGTTGCATTCAGCTCCTAGGTGTGTTGTTTGGTTTCTAGGGTGTGGCCACACCAGCCTGGTCCCCAGAGACCCTTGTGGTGACCTCTGCCCAAACTTTAACACCATACAGTGAACCCTATTCCAGACCAACACCCTCCCATAAGCTGTACACACATCCATCGCCCAGGTCGCAAGAGCCTAGTAATGGGAGCTAACGGCATAGCGAGGAGCCAGGGTCTGGAAGATATCCGAGCCCAGATTCGTTCCTCTGGCTGGGGTAGGGGGTTGCAGCAGGCCCCTCTATTCCTTGCCCTTCACTGTGGGAGTCTTCACACACCCATCCTCCAGACATGCTCTGCAGCAATTCAGCCTTTCTTTCTACCATCTACCTGCACCTACCCTGAGGGCAGAAACTGTGGCCAAGTCCATGTCTGGAGAGCTGGCCATTATCTTGTGGGCGGCCAGGACACCTGTAGGGGACAGAGTTTCTCTATCAAGGCCAGTTCTGAGCTCTCTCCCCCACATTTTTGGGAAGAAGAGTAAGACAACCAGCCTAATCGGCTTCAAACACACATAAGCTGCCAGTTCCCATAAGACTCAGCCTTGTGACCCAGACTCCCATCATCAGCCCCAAGACCTGTGCAACAGGGAAGGGTCCCAACCTCTCCCACTGGGCCCCCTCCCTGGCCTCAGGGCCTACCTGCTGCTGTGAAGCCCTTGGCTAGGGCAAAGGCCAGCTGTCCAGCTCCGATGAAGCCCACGCTCATGATGTCCAGAAATTTTTATCCACAGCCTTCACGGCGGGCACTAGCTCTGCGGAGCAGCTGCGGGACGAGACTGGGCAGGACGGAGAGCAAGTTAGGTGGACAGTCCCAGGCCTGGCCGCTCCTCCAGCAGCCAGATGTCCCCTCCTCCCTACCCCCTCCCCAGCTGGTCTTTCCCCTTTGCTGCCCCAAAGCCCCGGCTCGTTAGCTGCTCCAAGCCCCCTGTCCAGAGCGGCAGTCCCCGGCCGGTGGACTGGAGGGATTAGGGCGCCACAGAGGAAGTGACCAGGAAGGGAAGACCCCGGCGAGAACCCGGCGCCAGGAGGTGCCCCTATCCGGGCTCCCACCCTGCCTGAGGCCCCAGGCCGCCCGGTTCTGAGGGCGCCGATCCGCATGGTTCCCCATACCGCGGCCGCCGCCCACTGGCCCCAGAACCGGACCCCTATCCAGCGACCCAGTTTCGGGTGGCCCCAGCCCCGCAGCGCCGCGCCCGCCACGCGGCATCCGCGCCCGTCAGCCCCGCCCCTGCCGCGCCAGCCACTCCGGGCGTGGCCTCCGGGCGCTGGCTAATCGGAAGGTGCGACTAGCACCAAGGACGGTTGCATCATCCGCTCGCCCCCGCCCCAGCCGCCAGCAGGCCGGGCCCCGCCAATCCCACGATCTCTGAGCTCTGGGACGCTCGACTCTCAGCCAGCACATCTCGGACGTGCCCCTCCCCCCATTTCGCCGGCCCCAGCGCGTGCACCCCCTGAGCGTACTTGGATCCCGTGGGAGACTGCGAGGGGTTTCCCACGCGCTATGCTGTGAGCCACCCAGACACAAACACATCAGGCTGGTGTCCCTGAGCCCTTGACCGCCGCTCACTGGGAATAAGTAGTCTCTTTTACCATCGTGTTTGAAGAAGCCCGACTGTACAGCATCTTCTTACTTTTTTGTTTTTTTGGAAGAGGAGCAGTTTTGAAAATAACTTGCCAAGTGGAAACGTTTGAAACGTCATCGTTCTGATACTGCATTTTGTCTCTTTTACATTTTTGTACTGGCCGGGCTCAGTGGCTCAGCCTGCACCACTGGAGGCCGAGGCGAGTGGATTGCCTGAGCCCTCAGGTTCGAGACCAGCCCGGGCAACTTGGCGAGATCTCTTCTGTACAATAAATAAAAAATTGGCCGGGCTCGGTGACTCAGCCTGTAATCCCAGTGCTTTGGGAGGCCGAGGTGAGTGGATTGCCTGAGCCTGCGGGTTCAAGACCCACCTGGGCAACTTGGCAAGACCTCATCTCTACAATAAATAAAAAAATTAGCCGAGCGTGGTAGCACGCGCCTGTATTTCCGACTACTTGGAAGGCTGAGGTGGAAGGATCACCTCAGCAGGTCAAGGCTGCGGTGGCTGTGAGTGTGTCACTGCACACCAGTCTGAGTGACAGAGTGAGACTCCAACTCAAAAAATAAATAAATAAAAATAAATGTATGTACTGCACTCCAGGCCTGCCTGAACCATGAAAGGTCCTGCCAGGACTCTCAAAATCTTAAAATTGGAAGGCAACTGCAAAGTCTGTATCAGCCCTTCCCCATCCAGACCCCCTTCCTCCTCACCTAGTGCTTTTTTCCTCTGTAGAGTGGAATCTCTTAGGTGCAAGATGCCTTTGAAAACAGCATGACACTCTGTGGTCATGGCCCATTACCATCTGAATCTCTTCTAAACAGGCACATGGTGGTGTTCAACTAGCAAGCTGAGGAAGATGATGTTCCTTTCCTGCCCCAGCTCCCATGGGGCCAGAGCACCCTCAAGTCCCGTGACATCTCACTCACAGTCTGTGGAATGTTTTGGCCCTGGATTTAAGGAGAGTAAGGCTCTAGTCACTTCTCCCTGATGACGTGCTCAGAGCTCATCTGAGTTGAGCCTGTGTTTGGGCTGTGGATAGCAGTAGGATTAAGGGCAAAGTCAGAAGTTATCACTGACAACCTGACTCCCACCAAGGGGAGAGTTAAGTTGCTTTAATTTTTTTTTGTCTTGTATCTTAGATGATGACGTACTGTTCTATACATAATTTCTTTTTTTTTTTTTTGAGTCAAAGTCTTTACTCTGTCGCTTAGACTGGAGGGCAGTGATATGCTCACAGCCACTGCAGCCTCGACCTGCTGGGCTCAGGCAGTCCTTCTGGAACTAGAGGCGCAAGCTACCACGCCTGGCTTATTTTTTTATTTATTGTAGAGACAAGGTCTCACCAAGTTGCCCAGGCTGGTCTCGAACTCCTGAGCCCAGGCAGTCCTCTTGCCTCAGTCTCCCAAAGTGCTGGGATTACAGACTTGAGTCAAGTCACCTGGCCTCTAGCACATAATTTCAGAATGATTAGGAAGTCTTGGTTGTAGCCACAGGGCTGTGTGTTTTCAGATTATCTTCACCTAGCCTCCTGATCATGGACACAGTCAACACCCCAGAGACTGCTCTGTAGTGACCAAGGGAGGAGCTGTAGCAAGTGCCTGTACAAATAGACGGGACAAACCTACAAAAACAAGACCTAGGAGTTCCACACATTTTGAGAACAGAACTTGCTACTTTAAAAAAACAAAACAAAAAACAAAACAAGAATTACTTTTTCAGCCGGGCTCGGTGGCTCAGCCCGTAATCCTGTGCCTTTGGGAGGCTGAGGTGAGTGGATTGAGGGTTCGAGACCCACCTGGGCAACTTGGCAAGACCTCATCTCTACAATAAATCAAAAAAATTAGCTGGGTATGGTAGCGCACGCCTGTAGTTCCAGCTACTTGGAAGGCTGAGGCGGAAGGATCGCCGGAGCCCAGCAGATCGAGGCTGCGGTGGCCGGGAGCGGCCACTGCACTCCAGTCTGGGCGACAGAATGAGACTCCTACTCAAAAAACAAAAACGAAAACAAAAACAAACAAACAAAAAAATTACTTTTTCCTGCTGGGCATGAAGGCTCACCCCTGTAATCCCAGCACACTGGGGGGCTGAGGCGGTAGGATTGCTTGAACCCAGGGGTCCAAGACCAGCCTAGGCAACATGGTGAGACCTCATCTCTACAAAAAAAAAAATTAGGGTGATTTCTTTCGCCCATGCCAGTTATGGCATTGCCACCCTTTCTTTTCTCCCTTCTCTCTCCAATAAACTTTGTTTAAAAAAATAATAATAGAGCATGGTGGCATATGCTTTTAGTCTCAGCTCCTCAGGAAGCTGAGACCGAAGGATTGCTGAGTCCAGGAGTTCAAGGCTGTGATGAGCTGTGAAGATGCCACTGCACTCCAGCCTGGGCGACAGAGTGAGACTAGTGAGACTAAAAAAATAAAAGTACTTTTTCAAGTAGTAACAACAAATAGCACTCCTACCTAACAGAGAACATCAACAGCACCACCAACAACAGCAACAACAACAAACCAAAATATTTGGCCCTCTAGTCCATGGAGTAAACTATCAACAGGTCCAACTCCAAGTTGAGCCTCCCAGCAAGACCCTCTGCTGTGTAATCTTGTACCCTGGGTCGTCTCCCCTCCTTGTCTGTCTGTCTCTCAGGACCTTTGAAATTTAGGTTAAGTGGTGCGCTAGAAGCAGAAGGCCACTGTACAGTGAGGAAATCGGGAAGTTGGTGACAGCTTGTTTTGGAGTTTTGGTTACCAAAGGAAGAAGAGAAGAAAACAGGGTCCCTGCCAGGACTCCCCATGTATCGGGAGGTATATGGTCCATATACCCCTTTGTCACCAGGTAACATGGTCCCCTGACATCCACTCTCTCTCAGTGGGGGGCCCTAGGATGCTGTAGACTCAGCAACTGCCTGCCACATGGAGGATATACCATTGAGCTCAAAACACTCACCCCCTCCAAGTAAAGGACATCAGACCAGACCCCATTTGTCAGCTAACCCAAGAGTGATCTTCCCAGTAGACCGGCAGAGGCCACTTCTTCACTTTCTGCATGGCACCAACACAGGGCCTGACTGGGAGCCCTTGGAGCCTGTGCCTGTTGTCCATTGCCCAGAAAGTGCAGCAAACCCTTTGCCTATGACCATGCCCAGGGCCTCTGGAGGCCCTCAGATGAGGATGGAGGTGATGGTTGGAGATTAAGGGCCTCCAGGAGGGAGAAGGATAAGCTTGATATCAATCCACTTCTGCTCATAGGCCTGTCTGAGCCACCTTGGTCTATCACCCACCAGAAGGAGAGGACACTGCCTTCTCTGTCCTCAGGAGGCTTCCCAGACCCTCAGAAGACCAGGGCACTCCTGGGCCATTTCCTTCCTCAGCCAGGGCTCTGGCCTAGGCCTTTGTCCCAGAGCATGCTGGAAGGGGGTGACCAGAAGGTATAAGTAGAGACTGCTTGACTAGAGGCAGAATGCAGATCAATATTGGCATTTATTCCCTGCTCAGGGACCTCAGGGCCAGTCAATGGGCTGAGGGGCTGCTGTGCTGCTGCTATCCTGGCCTGGGCTTAGGCTGAGTGGGCCTGCTTCAGGGTGGTCCAGTCTGAGCTCTGGTGCAGAAAAAGCTGGCTGGAGCATGGAAGATGACAGCTCCAGCAGTCAGGAGTGACCAGGAAATAGACACTTGAACGGAGGCATGTGTCTCAGCAGATGCTCCAGTTCGGGTCTTCTCCCTGTGCCAACGCCACTCACAGGCCACGGCCAAAGCTGCTGCATCGTGGCCAATGGTGTCTGGACGGGGCTCCGTGACTGGGGCAGAACCAGCTCCTTCTCTTGGTGGTGCTGCTGGCCTCTGTGGGCCCTTCCAGTCTGTTGACCCCAGGAGGCAGCCCCATGTGGCACAGCACAGCCCTCACTCTGCTTCCAACGGCTGTGGCCACCAGGAGGCTCCCCAGAGATGGGAGAGTGGTCCAGATTTCTGGATCCTTCTCTGTGAGCTGGCACAGCCTCCTCAGCAAGGCTCTCCTCTGGGGCTGCCTCTGAGCTGCCCCTTCAAGCCAGAAAGAAATTCTGGCTCCCTTACTTCCATTGGTCTGGCTCTGGCTCTCCTGGGTTCATTTCCAACCCATTTCCACACCTCTGGAAGTAATTTTCTTCTCAATCTGTGCATCCTAGCCTGAGTGTGGTCTCCAGACGCTGATGGACATCCTGGGTGTCTCTTAAATTCTAGCTTCAAGCCGGCCTCGGTGGCTCAGCCTGTAATCCCACGCTTTGGGAGGCTGAGGTGAGTGGATTGCCTGAGCCTGCGGGTTCGAGACCCGCCTGGGCAACTTGGCAAGACCTCATCTCCACAATAAATCAAAAATTAGCTGGGCGTGGTAGCATGCGCCTGTAGTTCCAGCTACTTGGAAGACTGAGGTGGAAGGATCGCTGGAGCCCAGCAGGTCAAGGCTGCTCCCGGCCACTACACTCCCATCTGGGCGATAGAGTGAGACTCCGACTCAAAAAAAAAAAAAAATTCTAGCTTCAGTGTCCCCAACTGTAAAATGGGTCACGAAAGCAGCAGCTTTAAAGATTTCCCAGGTAGCAGGCTCGGTGGCTCAGCCTGTAATCCTGCGCCTTTGGGAGGCTGAGGTGAGTGGATTGCCTGAGCCCGCGGGTTCGAGACCTGCCTGGGCAGCTTGGCCAGACCTCATCTCTACAATAAATCAAAAAATCAGCCGGGCGTGGTAGCGCATGCCTGTAATTCCAGCTACTTGGAAGGCTGAGGCGGAAGGATCACTGGAGCCCAGCAGGTCGAGGCTGCGGTGACTGGGAGCGGCCACTGCACTCCAGTCTGGGCGACAGAGTGACACTCCAACTCAAAAAAATAAAAAATAAAAAAGATTTCCCATGTGTTAAAGTGACCAGCACTGAACCCCAGGAGTCCAGGGAAATAGTGAAAGAGAGAGCTACTGGAGGGGAGGTTCCTTCCTGCCTCCTGGTTGAGGCCTCTCACCTGCTGTCCTGCCTCTGTCCCTCCAGGAGCTCAGCCTCAGAGCGCTGCCAGATGTCCAGAAGCGGCCTTTCCCCATCGCACTCCATCTGCCTGAGCCCTCCGAATCCCTCCTGCCGTCTCCTTGGCTTCTTGGTTTACCTGTGTGCCCCTCATGGACCTTGGAGCTGCTAGCCAGGGAGAGGAGGTTGGCGGGCTACCGCTGGTCAGGCTACAGGGTGGGCACGAAGCGGATCCTCTGGGAGTAGGCAAGGTCGACCACGTAGAGAAGCAGGTTGACGTAGGTGAAGATAGCCACCACCAGCTGGCTGTCCCAGGGGCAGCTGCCCCGAGGGCAGCCGGGGGGCCGTCTGGGCTCACCGTACTTGGGGTCGAAGCAGAAGACTGGCCAGATCACGGCAGCGCTGAGGTACAGGAGCACTGCCAAGAAGGTATACAAAACCACCAACCGGTCAAAGGGGCAGCCCAGGCGCCCTGTGTGGCCCATCACACTCAGGATCACCACAGCTACTGTGACCAGAAAGCACAGACTATAGACAGCTACACACCACTGGGTGGCCATGTAGCGCCTGTAATGGCTATCATGGACCAGCGCCCCAAAGATGATGCAGGCCACGAAGGCCTGGACAATCTTGAGGAGCCCTGACACTGTAGCCATGTAGCTGGCCACCTGACCAGGCCGTGCCCGTGTCAGGGCCACCTCTGTGGCATAAGCCAGGAAGAGGAACCCGGCAAAGACACTGGCTGCCAGGCGGAAGTCTCTGGCAGCACAACCGGCGGGCTCAGGCGGGCACTCCCACCGGGTGAAGTACAGCGGGTACACAACTGCAGCTGTGGCACACAGCAGGGTGGCCAGCATGGCGAAGGCCGCCGTGAAGTTGCCCCAGGAGAGCCGCAGGCAGCCATGGAGCCGGGTGAACTCACAGGCCACCACTAGAACGGAGAGGGCGAAGCAGAAGCCCCAGGCGGCCATGCAGAAGGTGCCCTGTACGCCCACGAAGCCACCCCGATGGGCCACCAGGCTGAAGGTGGTGCAACCAAAAGCCAGCTGCAGCATGCGGGCTGTGCCCACAGGGGACATCACGGCATCCAGGTTCAGGTATGCACCCCCGGGGGGCTCCATGGTACTGCCCATCTGACTGGCCACGTTTCCGCCTCACACAGAGCTGAGTGGGCCTGGGGTCCCTGATGTCCCTCTGTTCTGGCAGTCGTGGCAGGTGCCGCCGGCAGCCTGCAGCGGCAGAGATGATAGTGACATTGCAGCAGGGCAGCCTCTCTGCTGCCTGTGTGAGGAGGCCCCCCCAGCGCTATAAATAGACCGCCGCGATCAGAGCCCCGGAATAGCAGCCCACGTGCCTGTCCCCATCTTGGAGGGACATCTGACCCCTGTGTCCCACGCAGAGCCCCAGTCAGGACTATTAACTCGTTGGCTGCTGGCACCGCCCCAGCCCCTGCCTCCCACCTCCCACCTTGCCGCCCGCACGCAGCACCTGCATCAGTCTGATCAGTTGGCTCCACGGCCCATGGAGGAGGGAAAGGGAGGAGAGCGTAGAGCACGGGGTCCCCACCAGGTCACCCTAGCCTCTAGGACCAGCTGCGCTGGGGGAGGGGCATAGGAGGCAGCAGCCCAGGGCTCCAGGGCACTGGGGGGTGGGGAGGCTCCTGTCATTTATGTAATTTATCCCACCACTTCCGGAAGGCGGCTTGGTTCAGAGCTCGCCTGGGTTTCAAGACCCTGCTGCTGTCATTGTCTCTGAGGCTCACAGCTCTGATCTCTGGGACACGGTGGGGAAGGGGAGTGGAACACAGAGACCCTGGGCACCTCCCGCCAAGGGCTCACCTCATTCAGTTGAGTTCTCAGCCTGCCGGCGGGGGTGGGGGTGGGGGGGCGCTCTTTGAGTATTAGTTATTATTTGGGGGGATCTTTATAGAGTGCCTTGCTTGTCCCTCTTAGGAATATAAACGCCTAAAAAAAAAAAGGTTTCATTTTTAAGCTGAAATATGAAATATTTTGAAAAGAAAAAATTATTTCTGACTAAAATTAGTACATACTCAGGCTGCAATACAGGAAAAGAGATATTTCACCTGTAAGACCATCACTTAGATTCAACCACTATGAACGTCTCCTGGTATATCCTTGTAGATATTTCCTGAATTTTTTGATTAGAAACATTTCAAATCTACAGAAGAATTGCAAAATAGCACAAGCAACACTCGTATACCCTTCACCTAGATTGAAGACTTGCTCGTATTTCGTTCTGTCTGAGCTGCTTCTCCCTCAGTCACCCCATTAATTAGCTAGTTAAGTAATTTATTCTGTGAATGTGGCAATTCAACCCTGAATACTTCCACAGGCATCTCCTAAGAACAAGGCCATTCCCCGAGAGACCCTCCACACAATGATCACACTCGAGAAATTTAAGAACGATCACCTAACACATGGTCATATTCAATTTTCTCCCATCCTCAAAATACATGTTACAACTTTTAAAATTTTTCACCAAGATCTGATCAGGGATTATGAACTGCATGTTGCATGTGGCTGTCATGTCTCTTAGAGTACTTTATTCTGGAATAGTTTCCACATTTTTTTTTTTTTTGAGATAGCATCTTGCTCTATTACTCAGACTGGAGTGCAGTGGTGCAATCATGTTTCATTGCAGCCTTGATACTTAGATTCAAGCAATCATCCCACCTCAGCCTCCTGTGTAGCTGGGATTATAGACACATGTCATCACACCCAGCTACTTTTTTTAAAAATCAGTCTCATTCTGTGACCCAAGCTGGAGTGCAGTGGCACACTCAGGGCCACCACAGCCTTGACCTACTGGGCTCGGGTGATCCTTCTGTTTCAGTTATTTTATTTATTTATTTATTTTGGCAGAGATGGGGTCATGCTATGATTTTGGGGGGGCTTTTTTGGCTTTATTTTTTTTGAGTCAATGTCTCACTCTGTTGCCCAGGTTGGAGTGCAGTGACACACTCATAGCCACCACAACCTTGAGCTGCTGGGCTCAGGCGATCCTTCTGGCTCAGCCTTCCTAGGAGTTGGAACTGCAGGAATGCGCCTGGCTGATTTTTTATTTATTTATTATAGAAACGCGGTCTCGTCATGTTGCTCAGGCTGGTCTCGAACCCCTGAGCTCTGGCAATCCTCTCACCTCCCCCTCCCAAAGTGCTGGGATTACAGGTGTGAGCCATCACACTCCTCTGCTTCAGCTTTTCTTTCTGTTTATTTATTTGTTTTTTTGTTTGTTTGTTTGTTTTTGAGTTGGAGTCTCACTCTGTCGCCTAGACTGAAGTGCAGTGGCCGCTCCTGGCCACCGCAGCCTTGACCTGCTGGGCTCCGGCGAACCTTCCTCCTCACCCTTCCACGTAGCTGGAACTACAGGCGCGCGCTACCATGCCCGGCTAATTTTTTGATTTATTGTGGAGATGAGATCTCGCCTGCCCAGGTGGGTCGCTTCAGCTTTTCAAGTAGCTGCAACCACAGGTGCGTGCAACCATACCTGGCTAATTTTTTTATTTATTGTAGAGATGCGGTCTCACCAAGTTACTCAGGCTAATCTCAAACCCCTGGGCTCAAGCAGTTCTCTTACCTCCTCCTCCGAAAGTGTTGGTCTTAGAAGCATGAGCCACTGTGCCTGGCAAGCCCTGGCTAATTTTATTTTAATTGTATGTAGAGTCACAGTCTTGCTATGTTACCCAGTTTGGTCTTGAACTCCTGGATTCAATTAGTCCTCCCACCTTGGCCTCCCAAAGTGCTGGGATTAAAGGCATGAACCACCGTACTGGATCTCCACTTTAAAAAATATTTCATAACACTAGCTTTTTAAAAAATTATCATCCATAATGACAAAACACTGACTTTTTGAATGGTCTAGGGTGGTGGCTTTATAGACTGTCTTTCAGTGTGTATGGTCTGAGTCTTCCTTATGGTTAGATTCCAAGCCAGATGTGTCCAAGCCAGACAGGATATTGGGTGTGAGGGTACATCCAGAGTCTGTGAAGTCAGAGCCCAGGAGTTCAAGCTTGCAGCAAGCCATGATCATGCCACTGCACTCCAGTCTGGATGACAGAGTAAGATCTCAACTCAAGGAAGCCAAAAAATAAACAAAAATAAAAGTATAATCATATTGATTATCTGCTTTAGGATATTGTTTCTGATGTTTAAGGAATAGTTAATATAATCATAATAATATTATTATTATTATTATTTGAGACAAGGTCTCACTCTGTCACCCAGGCTGGAGTACAGTGGCAGCATCATAACTCATGACAGCCTTGAACTCCTGGGCTCAAGCAATTCTCTGGCCTCAGCCTCTTATTTATTTATTTAAAAGTTGGAGTCTCACTCTGTGGTCTAGTCTGGAGTGCAGTGACATGCTCACAGCTACCGCAGCCTTGACCTGCTGGGCTCAGGTGATCCTTCTGCCTCAGCCTTCCAATTAGATGGAACTAGAGGCACGCCACCATGCCTGACCAATTTTTAAATTTATTGTAGAGACAAGGTCTTGCCAAGTTGCCCAGGCTTGTCCTGGACCCCTGGGCTCAGGTAATCCTCTCGCCTCCGCCTCCCAAAGTACTGGGATTACAGGTGTGAGCCACCACACCTGGCACATCTCAACCTCTTGAATAGCTGGCACTACAGGCATGCACCACTATGCCTGGCTAATTTTTAATTTTTTTTTTTAAGATGGGGGTCTCACTATGTTGCTCAGGCTGGTCTCAAACTCCTGACCTCAAGCCATCCTCCTGCCTCACCCTCCCAAAGTATTGATTTCAGGCAGGAGCCACCACACCCAGACAATATATTAATAATACTAAAATAAAGCATTCATATTTGTTTTCAGGTGTTTAATCCTCTGAGATAATGTCTGGATATGGTGGAGTCCAGAAGGAAGGGATCCTCAAGGTCAACTGTTACAGTGTCTACTCTTTTTGCTCCCTCTTACACACAGGAGAAAGGTTCTGCTCCTGGGCAGTGCCCTTCGGAAGAATTCTGTGCTTCCTCTCTCCAGGCATGCACAGTAGGTGCTCCTGATCTAGAATGAGGGACCAAGGGGGGTATGGGACCTCAGGCTCGGGGGAAGGAAGCTGGTTCTGGCTCCTGCTGCCTTCTGACCACAGAGGAGCAGGAAGAAAATCCTCTTGCTTGAAGCAAATGGTTTAGTTTATCTCCCACAGAGGTACGCAGTGCTTCCTCCAAAGTTCACAGCTAAGCAAATCATAACAACAGCGAACCCAGTCATATTTCTTAACCATACAAACCTTCCCTGAATCCTGCTCCCTCATGATGCCCTTGACCTCTGCTTCTGTCCTCTCCATACCCCCTACCAAAGGCGGGGACTTCATGTAATACCTAAAGCATTGAGTATTTCGGGAAATCCCAGCCTTGGACACTGCCAGTTCTTTGGGGGGATTTGGAGGTGATTGGCATGCCTGTGCAGGTAGGAAGTGGGCACTCGTTGGTGACTTTTACAGAAGCTGTGACACCTTGGTAATCCCCACTGGGCATCTAACCCTAGAGTGGCACATGGGACTCTGAGTGAGAGTGATTTGGGGGGCCCACATTCATCAGTGTCCTTGAATAGCTCCCATGACTGTCCGGGAGTCCCCAGGGATGTAGACAGGCCCTCAGCCCAACCCTATTCCAAGTCTACTTGTCCCTGCAGAGCAAAGAAGCCTTCAGCGTGGCCTGCCCAGGAGAGAGCTGTGGCTAGTGTGACCAGGCCCGGGGGCCTGAGTAGGACCGTGGATGGTGTGTTGTCGGGGTTGGCACATCGTGCAGAGGGGAAGACTTACACGAGGGAACAGGGAGTCCTTGGCTCCAGTCTTATGCCAAACTCAGTACCATCTTTTCTACCTCTTCAGAAAGGGTAGGGGCGGGGCCCGGGCGGGGCCCGGGCGGGGCCCACCCCTAGAGGTCTCCTTAATGTCCTTCTCCTTAAGAGGACACTACAGCTGCTCAGCCTAAGCCACCAGCTCCAAGCAACCACCCCCAGCCCCCACTAGGCACTGGCCACTCTGAAACCGTTGGGCACCCGAGCACCTGGCTTAGCTTCCTTGGTAGGCCATGCCCAGACTCAGGTCTTCTGTGTCCACCATGGGGAGCAGCCTTTCCTGAACTTTCCCCTAAATGACTGCTGAACCTAAGCACCCCCAGGCCCTGGGAAAAACCCAGCCTCCCTTTCACTGCTCGTTTCACCCCACCTCCTTCCTACCTGGGGGTGGGTACTAGTC